CGCTGCTGGTGCACAATGGGCCATTCATCAACTGTATGCAGCTGAAAGGACCCAAACTACACTTGCACCTATTAATCCTCCCATTAAAATAAATGGGTGAGTTGCTAAACTGAGCACTACACACTCTGTGCAGATTAACAGTCCTAAGTAGTTTGGATCACCCTGCACCAGGCTGGTTTACTCTGTGACAAGAGTCTGACCACATCACTGCACCTCCTGCCTCTGACAAGTGGAGCTGGTACAGAGATCTACCAGCCTCAGTGCTGTCACTGCAGGCTGTTCACATCTCATTCTGTGACTAAAAATACCTGATTCCGTTTCTTGAACTCCACCACTTGGAAGAAGATGTACTCCAGGATGTGTTTGGCATCTAGCTTCTCCTTTGGGAGTTTCTCTGTCACTCCAAGGATGTCGCCACATTTTCGTATGTAGAACTCCAGGTCGTCGTCGGTACCTGAACGAGCACCCCAGGGTGGGTTTAAGTGGTTTAGAACAACCTTAACATTTTCACTTCAAAGCAGAAAAAGATGTGAAATGAATCAGCAAGAGTGGGCAAAGCAATTTGTGCCTGATGCAGGAAACAGCAGGCAGAAAGAGAATAAAATGTCATGTTACAAACAAAACCTCACGGCACATAAAGTCACGTTACCAGTTTCTGAGGCCTCCCAATTTCCTGAGAGGACAGCAGTGGTTTTTCATAAACAAGGCCCACTTTTAAAAATTAAATAGAACAATGATTTTCCTCCAAAACCTTGGAACTTAAACATGGAAGCCATCAGTCTGCTCCACTTACACTTGTTGGTAATCTCTGCAAGACGAGCCTTCTCAGAGGAAAACTCTTCATCCAGGTCAAACAGCTCCAGAGGGGGAGGAGGCAAGTCTCTGAAAATGGGGGGGAAAACCTGGAAGAGAACAATTATCACCATTTAGTGCCAGATAGTTTTCTTGGCCTTTACAGATCTCTAAGACAACAGTTTTGCACCTAGACTGGACTTGAAGAAAGCTTTTCTCAAGTCAAAAGCAACTCCAAAGGCCACAGTACAAAGGCACCTCTTTGAAAAATTCCCTTTCTGATTTGTGAAAGGAACTGGATATTCCAGAAGACCTTAGTGAAGAGTGTGTCAGAATTCCCACCCAGCATCACAGCTAGACACAGCCACAAGCTGGACTTTTGCTTTGAAAGAGCAGTACCTGAGACACAACTCTCCTTTGCACCCCTGCAGCTAGGAGGAACCCCACAGCTCCTCATTGGCCAAGGATGAGAAGCATGGAGCCAGGATGGCCCAACTCAGAGATACTCACAACACCTGCTTTTCAAAAATCAGTGGTGGTGTAATTAACATCCTGGCTCCTGCCCAGCAGCAGTCAGGATGTGCCTTGAGCCAGGATGTGCCTGGAAACAGCCCAGTCTGCTCTCACAGCAAAGGTTGAGCCAGCACCTCCCTGGACTGGGAGCAGCTACTAGCCAAAGTTTCTTACACACAAGGCACTCTGCCATGGTGCCAGAGGCAACATTTTCAAGCTCTGCTGATAAAAATTGGAAGCAGGAGTAAGTGTTCTTTCCTCCCTGAAGTGTATTAAACTCCCAAGTGGTTAATGATTACAACAGCGTTGCTCACTTTGTTTTCTTTGGGTTTTTGGTTTGTTTTTTTTCCTTTCTGAAAAGAACTCTGGAGAGGACACACAGAGGTTTTACATGAAACAGGGTTCTCCATGCTTTGTATCTGCAAGGAGATGACTCACAGCTGGCTGGAGGGGAGGCAGTGGAGTCTCCAGCTGAGGCTGAATGAGCTGGAGGGGTTCGTGCTTCACGTTCAGCTCCTCGTAAGCTCTGCAGCACACAAAGAGACCAAGTATGAGAGAAGAGATGATCCAAGGGTCATCTCCACTCACAGGCTATAGAGACATTTTTATGAAGACACCAGGGGCTGGGTAACAGAGGAGTTCTGAAGGACAAAGCTGCTCGTGATACAAAACTGGTAAAACTGAGCAGATAAATCTCAAGACACAATTATTGGGAAACACAAAGGTGAATGAAATGCAGCTTCAGTAAATGCCAAGTCATTAAACAATGGAAAACCAGTTATCACCCCAGAAAATCCACAACATCACTGCAGATAGTTCTAAGATTATCAGTTCACTGAGTCAGTTGTAGTCAGAAAAAAGGAAAAAAACCAGCCAGAAAGTACAGCTAAGAAAAGAAACAGGAGAAAACATCACTGTCACACTGTACAGTGGTAGATTCACACTCAGAACACTGCCTACAGCCCAACCCCTTCTGCTCTTAAGCAGCCACAGTTAAGCACAAGCAGCAAATGCAAACCATGGAATGAATAACTAACTAAATACAATGAGAGCTGCTGACTTGATCACTGAAGGGAGGGCAGTCGTGTCCAGCTCATACAGGGACATGTCAAAGAGCTTTGTGAAGTCTCTTGGGTTCTCCTCTCCTTCCTGCAGACAGACTCGAGGCTGCTCAGCCAGCACAGCTATATTTGGGACCATGGTGTAGTCTGAAATCTGAACACACACAGATACACACACCTGGGATTTAAAAAGACCAACCCACAGACATAGTCTCTTTATCTCACCTAAAATCTCATCTAGAAGTGATGACTTCACCCTTTACCAGCTCTGACCCTTTGCAGTGCAGCTTGCTAGGTTAGGAAACTCTGCAGAGTTTGTTCTCTTTGTTGTAAGGCCACTCACCACGTGGCCATTGTAGCTGGATTTCTGTTAACTCTCAAAAATGAGATGTACTGCTAGTCAGCTCTGCAAGACTTCTTCTCTCTATGCACAGAGAGCATACAATTTTATCACATATGGTATTTCCAAATAAAAACTAGTGTTTGGATACATCAGTTGAAAAAAAAACCAACTCAAACTGACATGCAGGTTGATCCCTACTCCCAGACAGAAAATCTGCCTTCATTTCAGGCACGTTCCTCTCCTCTGAGGGCTCAGAGCCAAGTGCAAACTCACTATGCTGGAGCAGCAAATGAGCTCAGAAACCTGTGCAAACTGGGAAGAGACTTCCACAACTGAAGTCTGATTAGGAACAGCAATCTAAATCTGACAGAGACATAATACCATTATTTTTTTCCATACCTAATCCACCTGCTTACTCAGTCTCAGACCCCCAAGGGCCTGCAGCAACAGCATCCACCCAGCTGTTAAACACCTTGTGCCAAAACTGCTGGCTCACTCTATTATTTAGCTCCTCACAGTGGATCTCTCTTACCTCAGGGTCCTCCATATCCACCTGGTTCAACTGGATATCTGATGATGTGAGCCACCGGAAAAGCACATCCTGGAGAAAAGCAAAAACTAATCTTAGGTTACATTTAAACAGTCAAATTAAATCTATCAATAACAAACCATGAAAAAGAAGAAAAAAAAAGGGTAATCAATCAAAGAGTATCTGTGGAGAAAACACAAACCACTTGGGTTTATATGTGGAAGCAACAGGTCGTGGCAATGGGCACGTGTTGTGTGAGGTGCCCAGTTTCAGGGACAGCTGAGCAGGAAACTCCCCTTCTTACCCAGAACAAAGCTGCACACCCCACTCTGGAAAGGGCATCACAACCTCCAGGCATCAGCAGCTCTATATGCAGAGGTTTATTAATAATCAGGAGCCATAATCAAGCACTGAAAACGCTAAGAAAAAGCAGTAAACAAAAAAACCCCTACTCAGTGTTTATCTATTAACAATAAAGTGGTGAAGCAAAGCAGGACAAGCTTTTCAGAGGCCTGTAACATAAATAATAAACTCTTTTTTTAAAAGCTCCTTCCTGCTAGTTGTGCTCTCACAAATTCCTCAGGATGTTAGTACTGGGTTGACACCCATTTCATGGCTGTCTTGCTCTAAGGTGAAGCTAGTGGGCTTGCATGGCTTCCTAAGTGCATTGAAAATCCACCAAGGTGGGGTTTGAAAACAAAACAAATCAAAAATAGGCCATCAACAAACTTACCATGATCTTACTGTTTTCTTCTTTATCTAAGTATTGATCACTGAACATGTGAGAAGATCCCAGTGCTGCAATCTTTCCACCTTGTTGACCCTATCAACAAAGAATCCAATATAATAGAAACCCCTTCCAAAGCACTGTTTTAAGGCAGTTGTCAATGCTGTCTAATTAAACAGTGGTTCAAAGTGAGAGACAATTTTGGAAAAAGCAGTGGCAAAAACAGTTTCAAAGCTGGCAAGCTCACGAGAGCACAGCAACACTGTAAGTTAAGGCTCATAGATTTATTCAAAATACTGATCTACCTTTCATAAGGGTAGACAGACAACTGGCTGGCAATCCAAAAAAAAACCAACAAAAAGCCAACAACAGCTCCAGCTGCACTGAGGTTAATTGTGCAGAAAAAAACCACTCTTTTTTCAACCAGGTAAAAAAGAACTAAGTGACATGAACACATTATTAACTTTCTGCAAGCCACTCTTCTGTGTTCTGAGTGTGAACTTGAAGGAAAATGGAAGGTAGAGGCCAGTGACACCCAGGCAGGGCAGTGCAGCACAGAGTCACCTCAGGGAGCCAGAGGAGAGTTTGGGAATTTTATCAGTTGTAAGATAAAGTGCAAAATACCCAGGTTGTTATGTTTTAATTTGGTGAAATTCAGCGTGCATTCATAACACATCTTTGGAATTCTATCAGATTATTCCCTAAGCCCTTCACAAGGCCATAGATAAGATATCAGAAGTTTTCAACTGAATGAAATTGTTTTCACCAACTGTGAAACTCACAGCAGAGTACAGCCACAGTCACTGCTGTGTTGGACACATCTCTGATGTTTCACACTCCATGATTTGCAAGGTTTTAACCTGAATTCAACACACTTTACCCACAGCAGCATCACTGGGCAGCACCCTCTCCTCTGACTTTCCACTCCTTCACTTTTTGTGGCTATTCACCCTCTCTCTTTTTCACTCCAAGAGATCTTGTTTTCCTTCTACCAAGCTTCTCTGCTCTGCTTGTTAGACAACCTCTGTCTCTGGCTTCTCCTTCTACTCTTGTGTCTGTGACTTCCTGGAGCTGGAGAGGAAAAATGATGCCAGCTATTCCCATTCCCATCCCAGTATTCCATCAAAGGAAGAACTACCAGTGTGCTGGGTGCTGGCTTCCACTGCACAAACCTGTTTCCCTGCAGCAACCAAAACACTTCATGGAGGTGCAAGAAGTTACATGAGTATCACTTACAGCATCATTTAGCTGTCCTAATTCTTAGCAGATGCTCCTCTCCATATGTGAAGCACCTGAGACCCAAGAGGAGCATGAATGCCAACCAATGAGCCTCTAACCCCAGGAGAGTTAAGGCTTTATGTCACTTAGAGCACAAGAAGACAAGTCTGTCATTAATGCAGGTAAGTTCAGTCTCATCAAGGGTGCTAAACGAGGTCTGTGGGTCTGTTCAATCCATGTGCAAATCTTGGGTGGGTGGAGGGATGTTATTGTATCTTACTCTGACAGCTGCAGATAAAATGCAAGCAGTAAGTGGAACTCTAAGGCCACTTCATGCTGCTGTATTGTCTTTGATTTAGAGCTTATTTCAGCCACAGCATGGGGGGATGAAGTTGGGTATCCTCAGAAAAAAAAACAACACCCTAACAAAGATATAAAAAAAACCTAGAGTGGGCTGAGAAACTCATCTACATAGTAGAAAAATTCTAGAATCAAAGGTTTGGATTGGGAGGGACCTTAAAGATCATCGAGTTCCAACCCCCCTGCCATGGGCAGGACACCTCCCACTAGAGCAGGCTGCCCAGAGCCTCATCCAACCTGGCCTTGAACACCTCCAGGGATGGAGCATCCACAGGTTCTCTACCTGTCCAACCCCCCTGCAGTGAACAAGGACATCCCCAACTAGAGCAGGAGGCTCAAAGCCCCATCAAGCCTGACCCTGAATGTCTCCAGGGCCTCCACCACCTGTGCTGAGGGCTCCAGAGCTGGACAAAGCACTGCAGAGAGGTCTCATCAGAACAGAGGAGAGGGGCAGGATCCCCTCTCTCCATCTGCTGGCCACGTGGCTTTGATACAGCCCAGTACCCAATTAGCTTCTGCTCTGGGAGAGCACACTGGTGGCTCATCCAGCTCTTGTCCACCAGCACCCCTGAGTCCTCTCAGCAGGGCTGCTCCCCATCCCTTCACCCCCCAGCCTGTGCTGAGAACCAGATTGCCCCAACCCAGGCACAGAACCTTGCACTTGGCCTTGTGAACCTCAGGAGGTTCCCATGGGCCCACTTCTCAAGCTTGTCCAGCTCCCTTTAGGTGACATCCTACCCCTCTGGATGGCACCTCATCCCTCTGGCACATCAACCACACCACTCAGCTTGTCACCCCTCGATTACGTGCTGAGGGTGCCCTTAATCCCACTGCCTATATCATGGGGCAGGATAATGAGCAGCAGTGGCTCCATCAGGGACCCCTGAGGGACACCACTTGTCACCCCTCTCCACCTGGCCATCTCCACCCCCCTCTGGAGGTGGCTGCAGACGTACCTGGTGCTGACAGAAAGCAAGGATGGGCCTGTTGAGGGGGAAGCAGAGGGAGCCCGTGGACAGCACAGCCACTGCTGGCTTCATCACGTTCAGCGTGGCACCGAAGGGGTACAGGAACCTGAGAGCCCTGCAGGAACACAGACACCCCCTCAGAGCCTGGCCAGGCAGGCTGGACATGCTGAGACACCTCAGCCTGGCTGCCTGAGCTGGGCACTGCTGGGGGACCCACAAGAGCTGTGCTTCCCAATGCTCAGCCACTTCAGGCTCTTCCTACAGGTTCTGCCAGGCTGATGACTTGTCCTAAAGAAGGAACAAAGAACACTCTTCATTTCTGTTTGCACACTCCTGTACCTGAGGGAAGGAGGGGTATTCAACCCACAGATTAATAAATACCCTGGAACAAAACCACTGAAAACATTTTTACACCTATATTTTTCCCTGTAATCAACAACACGGTCATTTATTAGTCTAAAAAAATTGCTGCTAGGAACAACACAAATGCCTATAGATATTCATGGAAAAAGATGTATTCTTAGAATCACTGAAGTTGGAAAAGATCCCTAAGATCAACAAGTCCAACCATCAACCCAAGATGACCACTGAACCATGTCCCCAAGTGCCACATCTACACCTTGAACCCCTCCAGGGCTGGTGACTCCAGCACCTCCCTGGGCAGCCTGTTCCAGTGCCTCACCACTCTGCCAGGAAAGAAATTCTTCCTAATAGCCAAGTGAAACCTCCTCTGGATTAACTTCAGTCCATGTCCTTTTGCCCCATGGCTGGTTACTTAGCAGGAGAGACCAACAGCCACCTCACTGTTCACATTTTTCTCAATGCCTTTTCACTCCTCAGTAGTACAGAGGGCTGGAAAGCTAAAAACTCCAGTAAGTGTCTATCTTACCTGGGATTAAGACTTTAAAAAGATATAGGGTTACTCGTGCCTGCTGCCACACCACCCACTACCTAGAGGTTCTTCATAGTTACATTGTTTAATCAAATTAAAATCCACAGGCTAGGGGCAAAAACAAAAGATCTGCCCAGGACAGTAATAATTTTCTTCAAACTTATCACTCCTGCTCCTTCCTTGGTTATGAGGCATGAGTAAACAGATTCTCCTCTCCACATAGAACCTTGAGGAGCAAGAAGCTGAGATAAGAAACACATCAGAAAACCTCAACACAAGCACAACGTACTCCTGCTAGATTACAACCCTGCTAATTCCAAGTTCTCCTAAATCTTTTCACACCAGCTTCCTTAAAGGAAAACACTTACTGTGAGCCACGCCCATTTCCATCTTCATCTGCTGGCTCAGGCACTGTTTTCCCTGCAGCTTCACTGATTCCCCTAAGAGATGTTGAAAAGCCAAAGTTACTGCAAAGGACAGAGATTCTAAGAGGTTCCTGTAAAGATTCTTCTACCCCAAATATTCACCTGTTCAAAACTCCATCAGAGATGAGTGCTTCTTTTGGGTGGTGGTACTGGCAGTACACAGTTCGTACTACAGCATCTTGAAGAAAGAAGAAGATCAAGATATTCACATCCTAGCTGAGCAGTGTGCCAGACAGAGCTCAGCTCTTTGGATTCCCTGGGTGTTTGCTTCCAAGCTGGCATGGGGATCCCAGAAGAATTCAAGTCAACCTCCACCACCGTTTTCTTGTTGATGTCCTGATTTAGAATAGGAAGGTGTTTCCTGTTCTAGGAAAGTTCAACTAAAAACATGAAAAAGAAGCACATCTCCACAACTTCTGCAAGGCAGAAGAGACAAAAGGATGATCCAGTTAAGAGTATTCATCAAGTTTTACAAGTGCACGTTTTTATACATCTTCTAAAAGCATGATGAATTAAACACTCTTCATGCAAAAAAGGAAGGGCATAGACTAAAAATGCCACCAAAGACCCTACAAATATTTCATCTGTACTGAGACAAAGTTGGTTTGTTGGGGTTTTTTTTCCACACTGGCTGTACAAAACCTAAAGAATGGAATTTTCTTGGTCTGCTAAAGAAAAGTGCCACTGTTTATGCAGGGTATGAAGTGATTCAATCTATTACAACACATTAAAAAATGTTTTAGATGAAGGAACCATTTTAAGCAATAAATGCCACTAGGATTCACTTTTCTTAGTCAACACCATCCAAACTGACCACTACAGCAAAGGAATGGAGATGGTGAAGTTGCTGTCAAGAAACTCTGCCCTCAGTGTGCCCCAGCATCACACGACCCCCTCCATGAGGCCTCCAAGAAAAAAACCTCTCTTAGATCAAAAGGGGCTTTGGGAGAGGGACCTGCTTGGCCTGGAACCACAAAGGCTGGAGCTGCTCTTTAGATCTGGCTGAAAAGGGGTCAATCAAAGGGATCAGTGAGCCCCGTTACCGTTGTTGAATATGATCCCGTATTCTTCCAACAAGAAGTTGATATTGGTGCCACACTGGGACTCGCCCCCTTCCTTCAGCATCACCAGGATGGATCTAACCACTACAGCAAAGGAATGGAGATGGTGAAGTTGCTGTCAAGAAACTCTGCCCACGGAAAGCCCCCGGTGTGCCCCAGCATCACACGACCCCCTCCATGAGGCCTCCAAGAAAAAAAACCTCTCTTAGATCAAAAGGGGCTTTGGGAGAGGGACCTGCCTGGCCTGGAACCACAAAGGCTGGAGCTGCTCTTTAGATCTGGCTGAAAAGGGGTCAATCAAAGGGATCAGTGAGCCCCGTTACCGTTGTTGAATATGATCCCGTATTCTTCCAACAAGAAGTTGATATTGGTGCCACACTGGGACTCGCCCCCTTCCTTCAGCATCACCAGGATGGCCCCACCATCCTCCAGGAACGTCTTCAGAACTGAAAACTAGGAGGCAACAAAGATGCAGAAAAAAGTCAAGGGGAAAGAAGCAACACACAGCAGTGCAGGAAATCATGCTGAGATGAGGGAAGGCAATTGATCCCAGGAGAAAAGCATTCCAATTTCAGTGTGAGTAAATTCATTTAAAGCAGTACTGTTGCCAAGTCTTCTGTGGGGTTCTTTTCTATTTGGCACTAAGCAAACCTTAAAAGGTAACTAATTTGCCAACAATTATTGACTTCTTACCTCAGCAGCACTGAATTTTTCTCTCGGCCCTGCTGTAATCCACAACTTTACCCCAAGCAGTTTCTCAGATGTGATCTCATCTTTTAAGCTAGAAAGAGATCCATAGACACGGGTTATTCCTGGGTATAGTCCTGAACCACCACTTTTTTCCTTCCTTTTTAAAGGGCTGGCAAAGAAACACAGAGCATATCACTTCAGCCACTTTGCACCCTTTTATCCGAGTTTAAAGTGGGCAAAACCAACAAAAATAATCCTTACCAATTTCAACCCACTGACTAGTAAAGCCCCTCTGACACATCCACAACTTTCTAGGGCAACCTGTACCAGCATTTTGCCACTCTCACCCTTGTAACTTATGCTCTATAACTTATTGTGAGGCCTGTGCCAGTGTCTCACCACCCTCGCCCTTGTAACTTGAGCTCTATAACTTCTTGTGAGGGTGAGACACTGGTATACGTTGCCCCAGGAAGCTGTGGATGCTCCATCCCTGGAGGTGTTCAAGGCCAGGTGAGATGGGGCTTGGAGCAGCCTGGTGTAGTTAAAGATGCCCCTGCCCATAGCACAGGGAGACTGGAGCTCGATGACCTTCAAGGTCCCTTCCGACCCAAAGCAGTCTAGGACCTCTTGCATAAATAAGGCTGCTGGAAGCTCCCAAGACACCCAAGCACAGCACCAACAGTGGAACTGGAGCCGACACCACACAAAGCAATCAACGCCGAAGAGCCACCTCGGCCCGGCCACATCGCCGCAGACTTTCGGGGCAGGCAGTGCGGACACCCACAAACCTCCGGCTGCCTGCGGGG